CATTAAAAACCATAGCAAATGATTTTATCCTATTGAGGGAGAGGGAAATTCTCAGGATGTACTTTAGAGCTTTTATTGAGTGTGGTGCAAATTATGAATGAATATATTTTATTTAAAAACACGTTATTGACAGAAATCTATCAATAATAATGTGGGTATTGTCAAGGGTCTGTCAATATTAATGTAATTATGATTAAGAGGATAACATGGATTTTAGCTATAATACCAAGTAACATCTCCTACATTGCTGCTATCAATATACACATTATTATTGACCTGTTCTGGGATTCTTCAGTCCTAGATGTATTACCATTAAACATATTTGTCAATGCACACTGCCTACAGAAATTCTACATTTAAATTTACAGTCCTGTAAACTTTGTCAGCAGAAACCTCTGAATTCTGATTAATCTTGAAGTTATCACATGTGCCCACCTCCCTGACAGGTTCTTTTGCAGCTTTACAACAGGGAATTCATCCAAATGGATGCAACTGTAACTCCATTTTATTTCTTTCTAGGCTTTTATAAGTTTTAGGCTAAAACTTCATACCTGGAGGTTATGTAAATAATCTCTAAGTGCAGATCTTAAGTTTTGAATCTATGTTCTACTATTTTAACTTCTTCGTATAGTCAAATAGATTTACTGTCCATTGTCTTGAAATCAATACTAGCAAATGGGGCATGTATCGGAGAGGGACTTAACTGGATTCCCAGAGCACACTTCAAACCTTGGTAAAAGAGTAAAGCTATGCCGAGATCCATTATAATACTCTGACCTCTACCACCCTGGACAGGCCTAAAACCAACAATTTGTAAGTTCAAATCCCACTTCTGCTAAACTTGCTGAATGAATTGCCATTATTCTGTTGTTCCTCCATCAAAGACAGATTCAGTTTCAATATTTCATAGGGTGACAGTGTGATAAATCACAAGGATGCTCATTTGGATATATCAAAGACACATGGTGTTCTCAAACTGTGGACATTAGGTTTCCAAATTCTTTTTTTAACTTGAATGTAGCCCTTTTCAAAATTCTAGTAAGTATTTTCTTAACTTTTCTAAAATCATGTGAAAAGATAAAAACAGTAGAGTTCTCAAAAAGAAGAGCAAGGGTAAGCCCCTTACCAGAGAGGAAAATTATTTTATTCCCATTTGGAAAGAGGAAGAAAACAACAGCAAATGGTAGAATTTTCAAGACTAGAATTCATCTTACTTACACACACACACACACACACACACACACACAAAGGCCTTCTTATTTTAGCTATTGTATACTTGTTTCAGTATGTAAAGTTAACCAAAACACTTTAAAACCCTAAAACAAAGTTTGCAACATCCTAACCTAACTTCATCCTGTTTTAAAATGGAAAGCAGCACTGGCCATTGGTAGCGCACACCCTTAATCCCAACACTCTGGAGGCAGAGGCAGGTGGATCTCTGTGAGTTCGAGATCAGTCTGGTGTAAAAGAGCTAGTTCCAGGACAGCCTCCAAAGCAATACAGCGAAACTCTGTCTCGAAAAACAAAAAATGAACAAAAAAACAGCAATATTTGCACAATCTTTTCTTTAAGAAACCGGCTACTTCTGTATCATACAAAGAACATACTGCAACACTGAAGAGAAGTTTGAGTGTACACAGGAAAAGGCATGTCAAAGACGTTCTGGACAAGTCATTTTACTATATATTCTTCATCAACTGGGGAAACAAACAATTATAAACAAAAACAGTAATTTACAGGAAGTGTTTAGCAAAGTTTGGAAGAAGGAGGAAATTAGGATAAACTAAACAACCTTTTCCAATAGAAGACATGGTAAGAGTAAGCACTGACATTGGAAAAAAACGCAACATACATGATAAAGAGACAGTGATAGAAAAAATAAAAAGTGGCACACAAAAAGATTAGTAACTACTATTAAGTCACAGGGCTAGAAGTGGCAGAGCCATGCTCTGTACTTATGCCCTCTATGGACAAGGTGATGATGGCCTAGAAGTATAAATTCTTTAAGGTGGCACTAGAGAACATCCTTAAGGAATTATTTTTAAAGGCTAAGCATTAAGTGCAGGCATAGCAACTACAGCAAATTTATAACCCAAACATGTACAAACAGCTAAACGAAATACCTAATGAAATTACATCTTCAAACCATTCTACAAATTCAGTGATTTTTAGAATCAAGTTGCTGAAGAGAAGAATTCAAAATCACTTGAAAATTATTAGAACATAGATTTGATTGCAATTGTTAAGGCAAAAGAGAATGGGAAGATATCCCCAAATGAAAACAAAAAGGAATCAGTGATGGAACATGAAAAATTATGATATGATACATAATTGTACCATATACTACACATTTCCTTCATATTGTATCCTGGAATAATACAGTAGCTGTTATAATCTCTACTTTAAGACAAAAATAATTTAAGGTCAAGGTAACTAAATTTCTGGTAATCACTACAGAATTGTAGAACACACAAATTTGGGATGGATGGGTGGCTGGTGAGCTTGAATCACATGTAATTCCCCAAAATGCTAAGCAAATTTTTGCTCCTGAGGACCATTCAAAAGACCAAATTCATAACCAAGCTCTCTACAGATCTCTACAAATGGAGAAATAAATTAAAGGAATGTGGTAAATCACCTATGCTCTCATCCACATTCCCTCTCTGTATAAATGCCGTCAGAGAATCAGTCAAAGGGATTGAATGTCAAACCTAAACAAAGAGATTTACATGGGTGAAAAATGTGGCATGATCATTTATTATGAATACAGATTTATATGTATGGTAGATGTTATGCCAACTCACCCACCGAACACAGGAGTTAGACATGAGAGAGACAGAATTACTTTTGAGCTTCTGGCTTTTGTGTTTTAATAAGAAAGAGAAGACAACTTGGATGGTATTTTATCTTACTTTACTCAGGAAAAAAATCTGAGCTCTGATAAAAAGGAATACGTATTAAATAGAGCAAAAAGCAATATGGAAAGGGACTTTTTTGACTGTACTGAAGAAAATAGGCCAGAAAGACAAAAAGGTCACACTGGCAAGCCAGAAGATGCATAATCATCATCCCCATCTCTACTACCGAGTATAGAAACCATAGTGTCGTGCTTAAAGGGGCAGTGCCAGGCTCACAATCACGGGGAAAATGGAACAGCTGAGGCAGCTCTACCAAGGTTTCTCTCACATGAAAGAGGGACAGTATCCTTAAAAGCTACTTTTACTTCACAGGAAAGAAAGAGGAACATGCAACCTACATTCTGGCTGTCCAACTCAGACCACAGGGTTGGGGAGCTAGGGAGTGAGGGGAAGCAACCTCAAGTGAACTTGAGTTCAGACATAAAATCTGACATGGCTCACACTTTCTTTGTACTATAGTAACATGAAAATTACTTGATGCCCTGAGGAACGCATGATGCTAGACTCCTAATTTTACTAGAGAAGTGATGACCAGCAAGACTGCACTTAACTTTAAGGCTCAGCAATGGAATTAGTCAAACAGAAAATTATGGCAAGGGCTTTTATGATCACCAATATAAGCAAAACTTTAATCACAGCTAAAAAGCAAGAATATCAGAGAGGGACTAGGAATTATGATGGATCATAAAGACAGCATTAAAGTTGAAATGAGTATTTTATAAAAATGCAACAGCATTACCATGTTTGTAGCATTTAGAAACTATGACTACATAATTTTGGAAAGCCAGAATAACCAAATGAATGCACACTGAATACAAATGAACAATTGTCCTAAGAAAGGTAATTTTCATGCTAAAAGGAAAAGCAGATCATCTGGTCCAAGATATGAATTAAATCTTAACAGGAACACTGTTATAAAAGAAGACATAAATAGCTGTGCTTGTTAAACTACAGCTGACAGTCGGCTTGCTTTGTCTCTCCTCTGCATGGCTCCAGGAAATTTCTACAAAAGTTCTTTTATAGAACAATTTTAAAACCACAGATTGAGTGCTACCTCTAATTACTAAAAAAGAGAATTAGGCCAAAAGGTAAAGTTGGGCAGGGGCAAACTATAATCAGGACTAGAACCTAATTCTTTTCATTTTAGTGATCTATTATGCTCTGTTATTTTACTTTTTAAAGAAAAAAAAAAAAAACGAGCTTTTTTCTACGTAATTCTACTGACTCCTTTTTCAAATCTCCTGGCTCGTGGTCTTTCAAATGTAATCGTTCTGGATACAAGTAATTGGTAATACAAAAGAGATCAAGTCAGTCAAAAGAAAGCAGAAAGAAAAGTCAGCCACTCCAAATTCATTCTGTTAGGTTTAACTAAAGGCCACACATTCCTAGAAGGTGTTTTGACTACAAAGTGGTAGGGGTGGGAGGAGGCTCTTAGTCATCCTATAATTACAAAAAAAAAAAAAAAATGTTAACATGAAATAGCAAAGGGTGCCACAAAAAATTTGAAGGTGACAGACTGAAACATTTTCAGTCCATGAAGTCTTTTTGCCGAGTGTCTGGTGTGTGGAAAATGGCATGTAAATAAGTTAGAGAACTAACAACGTTTAAGGATCCCAACAGGAAAACAAAAATGATTATCATGTTCTTTATAACAAACAGTACGCGTCTATTTCATAAGAAAACCTATGCCCAGAGAGCAAAACTGAGTTTTAGTGAATGGGGTCTCAGAAAGGTTGAAACTCCAGTACACTGAAAAACAAGTTCTTTTTCATCAACATTCTGATTATAGACCCCGAGAGATTTTTAAATCTGAGTTTAAGAAGTCAATCTACTGCGACGAGGAGGCGATTTCAAGGCTGCCTGGAAAGTCGCATTGGGGAATGCGGTGGCTCGTTCCCAACAGTGTCGCTCTGTTTGTGTGACAGAGCTATACAAGGGAAAACTGGGAGTTGGGATTTGTTTTATTGCCTTTCTGGAAACCAAGAGACACACTGGCTCC